GTGATCTCTTTTTTCCATTTGTTGGAAAAAAAGGCAAGACAATGACAAAAGTTAGCGTGAACACAGGTTACATTGCAGTTCAGGAGTTCGTCATTGTAGCAGTTTGCATAGCCCGTTTATGTACTCTCTCCGCTGTAAAATTTTTGTCTGTATCATAATGCTCATTTAACTGCGCATTCTGCGATTGGTGTCAGTTGACAGATGTCGAAAAATTTGAACGTTTTGCTTATCCGTATATGGGCTGATACACGTTCAAGCGAAAAGGTTAAATGGGGCAGCATAGTCGACGGATATGCTGTTTAGGTAAATGAATAAATCGTTAACAGCAGAGAAAGCCTTCCACTGTAACGATCAACTAAGGACGAGTCCCATATTAAACTTAGCTGTGCAGTAGAATATGGCGATGGACAACATCCAGCGAGTACCGCCGCGGCATTAATTGAAAGTGCCCTAGTATCCTTAAGACCTCCGTAAGTCGCTAGATTGGTGCGAAAATTTTATGTGCGGAGGCCAGATGTGTAAGAATTTGTTAAGCTTAAACTGAAGCAACACATGGTTCCTGCCTTCGAAAGCTCTAATTGCATGTACTAAGCTAATTGTGGAGGAGTTGACCTTCTACCCATGTAAGAAAAGTTATTCATGCGAATAATCCTTGACAAGCGAAGGATGTCAGTGGTCGCTCATTGCAGTTATGAGCGATTTCCGCCAAGTCAATCAGATGGCGCTTTCCTGCTGAGACATGCCATCGATCAGTGCTAAAATATCTAACTATCCTATCACGCAACTTTTACTGTTGAGCAACCTTCAATTCGTTTCACTCTCAGATGTTGGTTTGTGACTTTTGGCTATTTAATTGTGGAAGCGATGGATAAACCCGTGATAGGTTTCCATAAGTTGACGAAATGCACACAGATCAACCGAAGGATCAATATGGATTGGTTTTAACACAGAAAAGAATCAATGTAAATATTACGTAGTGCACATTATTCTGTGCCATGATGAACTTAATGATGCAGAAGAGTGTCGTCTCCAATCAAAGGGTGTTTGCAGTAATGAGAAACTCAGTTCACTGTTGAACTGAAATTATTCTGAATATTGGAATGGCCTTGTGCTGCTGAATTACTTGCAACGGCATAGAGAACGGGTCTACAGATGAGTATTAAGAAGGCAAGTTTTGTGATAATACCTATGGCTACCGAAGAGTGGACGATATGGAATGATGCAACAGTGAAACGGTAGTTTGCACGGTGTCATTGCATTGTTCATTTGC